ACAAGATTTTCCAATGCAGGAAAACCCGACCAACAGCATTCATTTCAATCTATTTATCAAGCTCCAATTGAGAGGAATGTGCTCCAGTGTTATTAAAGATACAGTAGAAGATGTTCTTTTTCCGGGTAAATTAACTAAATAAGTGGTTCTCCTAATTGTCAATCATTCTGGTGATATGTTCACATAACATCCAGCTACATTCATCTAGCCAATGACTTTGCAGGATTTGCTCCTCCTGGAAGAACAACAGCAACAGCAGATTCATGATACTTTTTTTTTGATTGGCTCTGCAGCAGTCCCTCTCAATCAGCATGCATGCAGTGACAGTGGAGAGAAAAAGACAGCTTTTGCTGAGGCCAACTGGGGGTTCAGGGCAGAAACAGATGCACAAAAGCAAAATTGACTGAAGGACTGATCTATTCATCTATTTTTTATGTATGAGAAGGTAACCATAGATGGCTCCTTCAATGAAAGAAACAATTAAGTATATTATCTTTAATACATGGTATGGGATTCTTATTTCTTTTTTTTGTCCCTAAAAGGCTCAGTTTAAGTCTCTTCTGAAAAGTCCTGATGATTAAGGACATTTCACATGGTTATTCCTTCTTGTAGACTAAACCCCAGCATTAACTCCCAGCCTTTTCTCATGAAAGGGAACTCAGAAGACCTAGCAAAATAACAATCATGGATTAATAAAGGAACAGAAATGATCCAGTCAACTTCAAACTTTTATCAGAAATAAAGATTTGTGTCAGTTCCATTTACAAACCACGTTTGCCTTCAGCCTTTAGTGGATTTCTGGAGGAATCAGCAGTATGAATAAAGCAGACGCTTCCATCTGGACCAGCCATCTTTTCACCTCATCAGCTTACGTGCTTTTGTTGGTGCAACATATTTTGTTACTTCTAGAGCGCATGGATGAAAAGAATTTTTCAAAATAAAACTGCACATAAGCTCTGCTAATTAAAACTGTGTAAATGGCTGATACATATTAATTACATATTAGTGACATGCTAATAATACATATGTGCCTGGTTTTGGTTCAGAGCCCTGTGGTTGGAAAGTCCTGGTTTAAAAAGCAAAGATTTTATCAAACTGAAGGTCTTTTCTCCATGATTTATTGGGTAATTATCCTGCAGCATTAAAATATAAAAGCTTTCTGCACATCATACCAGAAGTGCCAATAACCAGGCAGGGGGCAGTTTCTCGGTCTCACTTATTTATTTGTAACATAACTTCAGTTTGCTACGTCTTCATATGAGCCCAAATGCTGTTAAAGTAAGCCATAAACGTGCAGCTCTCAGACTATTGCGTTATTAATCAGTGAATTAGTTTACCAGTCTTCAGCATTGAGCATAATTAAATGGACTTGTCTAATGAGCACTGAAAAACATTTCCAACTATTTTTTTTGTCTGTCCAAGCTGGATTTAGTCAGTCTTCTTGTACTTGCTTGTTTTTTGTTAAAGGAGCTGCAGTTCTTTGGTCTGTTTTATTTGTCATGCGGTTCCACTGTTTGACCTCACATGACCCAGCAAGCTATAACCTGCAAATACCACAAACATTAGCATTCGCTTTTCCCAGTCGTTCACAGGGTATTTTTAATTTTGGATCCCGAGACCTTGATTTTCACTTGGTCATTGTGTTATTCTGTGTTATTGCACTGACAACCACTATAGACAACAATGTTTGCCAGTAACAACACAGTTGTTCCAGCTTGCTCACCCCTCAGTTTATTTTTCAACCAGTAAATTACATGGACGCAAAGCCACAACTGTTCGAATGAATCACATTTGGGCAAAAATAACAGAACTGGCAAAAATAACAAAAAAGTGCTTTCCTGCCTGGTTATTATAAGAGTTTGGTAAACAGCAATGCTCTCAGATCTTGCCGGATTTTTGTCTGGAATTCCCCTCATACTCCTGTAATGATGCAGAACATGCTTGGGCCTAGAGACAGGCCTCATTTCTTGTCTCAGCTTTGATAAACCAATTATGTAGGGCGTCTTTATATGATGCACCAAGACAAAATAGTTATGCATAATTGTAAACTGGATGCAACATCACGATAGTTTCTTTTTCACAGAAAAAAACTGAAAGGTTATGGAAAAAAAACATTCTCTGATGCAACTAAATAAAACTCTGTAACTATGAAAGTTATAACGGGACTCATCACCCTAAACATAAACAAACTGTCCCGCACACTGGCATCATCGCCCAATGGGAGTTCTTTTCCTCAGCATCTGCAGGGAAGCTTATTAGCTAATCCCTTGTAAATCCATCCATCCAACCGTGGAGTGGTTGCCGGTCCATCATAGGGCGATGCAAGAGACATACAGCAACAACCATGCATGCAGAAATTCACATCCAAAGCTATTTAGGGGGAAATAAACAGCTAACAAGCAAAGCCTACAAATCTGGAGAGAAAGCATGAATGCTCTGGGAAAACATGCAAACTCTGTACAGAAAAATTCCAAGGCAGGTTTCATCCCCAGGACTTTCTTGGAGTAAGGAGAAATTCCCCACTGCAAATAGCCCCCATGGTTAATCACAGTGGTGGCATGATAATTCTGTGCCGATGCTTGTCTGGAACAGCGAAGCTGTTCAGAGTGGATGGGATCATTTCTGATGGAAGTGAAAAATGACCTGGGAGTGGGGTCTAGGATGACCTTCCACCAGAGCTACAACAAAAGGGTTCTCATTAAAGCATTTACATTGGTTGGAATGGCCCAGTGATGGTCACAACCTAGCTCTTATAGAAAACCTGTAGCAGGTCTTGATGACTCAATTCATTTTAGTTTATTTCTACAATGCCAGCTCATGTCATCTCAATTTATTCAAAGGTATAGTGGAGGATGTTCTTCTTCCGGGTGGATCATCAAAATAAGTGGTCCTCCTAAATGTCAATCACTTTGGTGATATGTTTACGTAAGGCCGTCATTCGTGCTCGTCCCCATCTTCACTTACCGGTGGTGAGTCTGACATTGTGGAAAAATTGAAAATCTTTTGGAAAGTAGGCTTGTATGAGCGATGCAAACTGCAAGCAACATTTACAGAGTGTGCACATGGAGAAATTGACTGGTGCACGCATTTAACAGGAGTTCCCTCCTCCATTATACCTTTAACAAAAAATCTAATAAAGTTCAATACAGAGCAACTTCAGGTCAATCTCATGATTTTTAATTGATTTCAGTTGTTAAACAATGCTGTTATTCAAAGTTGTTCATTTTCTGTCTAAGCAAACCCAGCTGATTGCATTGAGTCATATACTTAGAGGATTCCCGCCTATTTGATGACAATTTGGTGATAACGGATAGTGTTTGCATTGTGTCGGCTCTGCAGCAATCCCTCACATCGAGCATGAATGCAGCGACAGCTGTGTGAAGAAAAACTCCCTTTTAGTAGGAAGAAACCTCTAGCAGAACCAGGCTCGGAAAGAGCGGCCATGTGCCGTGACTTAGGTTTTGATTGGACAGGGAAGACACACAAAATAACCACAGAAGCACTGAGCCAAGAGTGCTTCCTATGTGAGAGAAAAGTAAGAGATTAGTTGTAGTTGTAGCTCCTCTAGAGGCCTTTTCCAAGCATGTGAACTCTGAGCCAGTGTCCAAGTTTATAGTGTGAAGGAGAGAGCATATTTATAGTAGCAGTAAACCACTACATCTAGAAGAGAGACAGAGTTAACCTCTGAAAGACAGGCCCAAGTAGATCATCTATAGAAGGAGAACAATAAATCACCAGTTGCAGCAACCAATGCTACCTGCCAGGATGGTGTAGAAACTTAACAGAATGTCCCGCCCTATGGAGCTACTATGAAGAGAAAAAATAGGAGAATATAAATAATTGGAGATTGGTAGGAGAAAGTTGCTTAGTGAAGGAAAGGGGCCTACTGTATATCCTCTAGCAGCCTAAGGATATAGCAGCATAACTATACAGAAAGCTCAGGATAGCCTAAGACACTCTAATTAAATGCTTTATCAAAAAGGAACGTTTTAAGCCCGGTCTGTGGATGAGGAACAGTGTGTCAGCCTGGGTACTGGTTGCGCAGGAGAGGAGCCTAAAAGATCTGACTCCCTTTCAGCTTTTAGAAAAATTGCAAATTGAGAGCAGAGCGCTGTTAGAAATATAAAAAAATATCTGTAAGAAACATAAGAAATAATATTATAAGATAAACCTTTATTAATCACTGATAAATAATTATAAATTATGATTTGATGATTATATTTATTCGTTAGTTTTTCAAAGCATATTTTAAATTCTTTTCTGGATTTAACCAGGAGCCAATAAATGGAATTAAAAATTATCTAATTTTTCAATTTCCATCATATATGTGGGTGCAATACTTTGGATGAGCTGAAGGCTTTCCATTGAATTTTGTAAACTTCCTGATAGTAAAAAATGAGAATTGTCCGGCCTCAAATTAACAAATGCTATTTTTTTACGGTTAATGCAAATTCCTATAAACCCGTTTAATATGGGATTTAAAATGCCTTTTTCTAGATAAAAAGAACATGAAGATTTTTATGATAGTTCAAAGGCAAATGTAATGTCATCCAGATGAAGTGACTAAACAGCTTATTTTTAAAAGGACTCTGGTCCAAAGATGAAAACCTATGTCCTATATGAATTTAACAGCAGAAAACTTTAAAGTCCTCAATCTTTTTCCTAAATTATTGGACTCATGAGATGTTAACCTCATTAAGTTTGGCCAAATTTAAGCTACTTTGCAATTGACAATAAAACTTTCTAGATATAGAAAGCTGGCAGTGACATGCACCAAAGGGAGTTGTAAAGAGAATTGACTCAGGGGGACTGATTAACAATGATCACCATAGTTTCTTTCTAATTTGAATTAGAATATCTTGCAAAAAAAAAAAACATGAACATTTTCCTTTTTATTTACAGCAACACTCTAATATATGCAGCTCTATGACATAGAGGCCTAACAAATTAGATGGGGTTTGGTATGGTGCAGCAACCTTTAACCTGTCTCCCGTCCACAGCTGCTGAACATGGTGACAGTTTCTGAGAAGCGATGGCGAGCTCGGTCACGAGGAACTGGATCAAATGGGTGGAGCGACGACATTGAGGAGGGATTTGCGAGCGGCGACTGTGACGACGAGGACGAGTGTGCCGGGGTGTCGGGGCTGGGTCCTCCTCCGAGGCGTAAACGGCTGCGGATCTTTTCAGGTTAGACACACAAACTACTTCATAACCATGGATCTGATGAAAGTATGTTTCCGTGCTGCTGCTGTGGTTTCAAATTAGGTGCTGAATCGACACTGATAGGTTCAAATTACCCTAGATTGGATTTATAGGACCGGATATGAGAAAGAAATGTCCAGCCCAGGCTAATGGCTTGTTTACAATCAAGCCCACTAACTTAATTAGAGCCATTTTCTTAAATGCCTAAGAGTGATTGGATGGATTTGGCTTCTTGTGCAGCCACTCAGGCAGTTCATAGAGATCACAGAGAGGCATTTTAACATGACTGAAGTGCAAAATGACCACACTATGCCATAGATATCGGACTTCTGTGAACACATGGAAAATACTAGATATACAAAGCAGGATACAACCATATTTGCTAAAGGATGACTTTGTTTGTTAGGATGACCAAAATTATTGCTATTTTTTAAATAGCTGAAAATGAGTGAGCGAAAGATATAATTTTTTTTTTTTTTATGGTTAGTTGAATTTCCTTTGAAACTGCAAGACTTTGTTCAGACATTTTGGGCATCCCTTCACGAGCATCTAACATTAGTTAGCTTGAATTTTGGCCCATTCCTCCTGATAGAACTGCAGTTGTTGGGTCAGGTTTATAGGCCTTCCCGTAACTCAACTTTCCCCAGCAAAATGTTGTCCTTCTTAAATCTGTTTTGTGATGGCCACTCTGGATGATGCATTGAGAGATTTCTTTGATATTACTAAAAAATGGTCTTTGCTCAATATGCCATAAATACAAGGAAAAAATGGATCCATTGCCCAGAAAAGCAGGATGAAATAGAACCAAGTTTTGCTTCATAGCTACTTTAAAAAAATTTGGAAACCAGGTTAATCGGCTTTAAACCTAAATTTGCCACTGTGTTATTCACATGTAGATGAAGATAGGCATTGGAGAATATAACTGTTTTCTAAACAACTCAGGTGTGATGATTTTCATGGTCGAAGATAAATAGACCTGTCCATGAATTGCTGCATAAAACTGAATGTAAATGTGGAACAATGGCAGGGTTATCTGTGCTGGAAGAACTCCTTTGGAGCGGGTTGATCAGATATTATCCTGCCCTGTTGGTACATAACGATGTGTAACATATTTGCTGGTTTGGAGGGAAATTGATTTATGCTCTGCTTGGAGCTGGCCGTGGTCTTAGAAAAGGGAAACTAGGAGTAACCATCCCTAAAGAGCAGTGTTGGGAGCGCATTTTAACAAAATAAATAAGTTACAGTTAGTGGGAATGTGAGTTATCTAGTGATAAATGAATTTAAAGTTAATTAATCTTATCAATTGGCTTACAATTAATTGATAGGTGGCCATTTTCTTAAAAACATGATTTTTCTGTTTCTGTCTGAAGCAGCTCTTCTTAATACGAAGTGGCAAAATACTTTTTTACAATATGCTGAGGTAAAAAATTTATACATCCTTATTTTTTAACATCGTACTGTGCCAACTGTATTGAATATTGATTGAATACACAAAAAACATGCTTTCTTACACATTATTACACTTATCTATAAGATTTAACAAATCATGAATGTTTTAGTTTATTGAATAAAAATTAATAAAATGTGCCATTTTCAAAATGTGGGAGATGGAAATATGTATTTAAAAGACTGTATGTGTCACTCTGACATGTTTTTAGAGTATTTCCAACTTTTTTTCAATGAAGCGGAGGCTAACTGGGATAAAGCTCTCTGATTTTAGTAAAATCCAACAATTAGTACCAGGGGAAACTTAGTGCTGTTAGCAGCAGTTATGGTTCATGTTGCAGTCAGATAATTTTTAAAACAAAATAGCTCTATTAACCTTCTCATCTAGTGAGCTACCTGCTAGCATGCTTTTTCTATCATGTTACAGAGGTAACATTAGTCCAGTAGGGATTCATGTTAAGAATTCTCCTCGATGGTCACAAAACATCACAAGTGGAAAAATCTCTCCTCTGACCAAAGAAAAAGAACATTTAATCTGTACCCTAGGCCTTTGTGTACTATGTAGGTATTATCCAGATCTTTAAAGTAAGAAATTAGATCTTGAGTTCTCATAGGAAGAGCAAACCCAGCCATACAGCAGAAACCAGTAAATTTGATCAACAATTTTAAAGCCAGAGCAGCTGAGCAAACATGGTGGTGGGAGTAGTCCTCCTGTGGCAGAGGTTTTGGGTTGGCCGGGGAAGTAGTCTGAGGGTTCACGCAGAAATCCTGCAGGGCCATCACTTCCAGTAGGCCGGGCCGTGAGAGTCTGATGCCCTCAGCTACAATCTGCTGTTGGCCTCAGCGCGGACTCATTACACTGTCTGCCCTGACTTACAAGCTGCTGAAAGGTCCACTTTAGAGTCTTATCTGATTATTTGTGAGAGTCATGAATTGACCTTTTGTGTTTTCAGTGTGCGTGCTCCTCATGAGTGTACGTGCTTGTGTCTACAGGCCCATTTAGCCTTCTACATCAAGGTTTGCAGACCTTGATGAGTGCCTCCTCATTGGCAGATGCACAGATAGTTACTGATATTTTGCGATGACCCAGCAAAACGCTGACCCAGCACGGCCGCTCTGCTCCTTTTGGTCAAACAGGGGGCTGGAGTTCAAAGGTGAGCCATAGAGCACAAGGCCTAATAGGATCCCTGTCTGTGCTGAGCTCCTCTGAGATGAACGAGCCAGATTTGGTTTCACAAAGCCTAGAGCAGATCGAAGGCGAGGCACGTACACACGAGCAAGCACGAAGGACCAGGGGAAAGGTACTAGAAGCCACAACAACAAGGTGCAGACAGGACGGACACATGGCTGGGACCCCAACACAGCTTCCCTGTCAACCTGCTGACTGCTCTGAGGATGTTCCCAAACAGGCATGATGATTGATCTCTCCTCGGCCATTCGGCACACAGATTCCACGAGCTTCTCATAACTAACTCCACTCACACACAGATACACAGACACACACGTGCTTCCCCTGCTGACCAATCAGACCCCCCTGTTAAACATTCACCACAGCATTCCAGGCCAGACGAGCTATTCCAGGACGGGGACCCCCTAGCAGCACCCCATCCCCCTAAAGTGAGACCTGCAGCCGGACACTGAGCTTGGTGCAACTCAGCCAGTTAATGGGTTGAGCAGTTTCAGAGCCTTGGAAAACTGTTCCTACCCATTTAATGTTTTTATATTTAGTCACTTTAGACATCAGCAGAAAAATTTTTGATTGATTGATGGATATCTAACAATTACTGGGAAATAAATCTGTGTTAAATACTCAAGAGAGCTTCAAAAAGGGTTTAGATCTTATTATAATATTACATGATTCAAATTAGAGATTATATAATCATACCCTAAAAGTTCAAAGACACTATTAATACCAATATCATGACCTTATTGATAACACCCAGCCTTAATCAAAAGGAGGAGGAACAAATCCTATCAGAGCAGCAGCACGCTTGCCATTAAATAATAACCAAACACAAAGGAATCCGTATTCAAAATATGAGTGAAATCAAATAAGATCAGCAATGCCAAAAACTAAATCAAATCACTTCTTAGAAACAAAAAAAGGTCTGTCAAATGAGTCCCGTATGATGGAAATCTGCTGATTCCATAAATATCTTCTTGGTCTGTTTAAAGTCCAGAAAAGATATATATATATATATATATATATATATATATATATACAAGGATGACTAGAAGGAAGAAAAAAAAAAAAAAAAATATATATATATATATATATATATATATATATATATATATATATATATATATATATATATATATATCATAGTTAAAGAGGTGAAAAGAAAATAGTTTTTAATCAAAATAAAAAAATAAAAAGAGCATGGAGTTGTCAACCAGTATCAGTGAATACCACATGTTGCTACAATAACACCTTACAGGTTTGTGGTATATGTCAAATATGTGCATATATATATATATATATATATATATAGATATAGATATAGATATATATATATATACATATATATATATATATATAGATATAGATATATATATATATATATATATAGATATATAGATATAGATTTATCTATATAGATATAGATATATCTATATATATATATATATATAGATATAGATATAGATATATCTATATATATATATATGCACATATGTGAGTGCGTGTGTCCAGACCTAAATTTAGCTGAAAATTGGCAGCTGGATTTTAAAATGAATGTTCACTGGTTATTTTGCAATTGTTATGGTTCTCCCCTTTTGGGACTTTGAGTTTTTAGTTTTCACTATCTATGTAATTCTGTTTTTTTTTTATGTGTGGTTTATTTCCCATTTTGTGCTATGTTTAAGCCAGTCTTTAGTTACTCTCTGTTGCCCCCTTGTGCCTGTTTCCTTTCCCCTAACTCCCTTCTAGTCACTTACATCCACACCTGCTCCATGTCATCTGATTACCCGAGTCTTTTTTCTGTTTCCCATATATACTGTACTCTCCCTGTGCAGTTCTTCAGTGTTGGTTCCTTGTTGATGTTAGCTGCTTCCTCATTTCTGGCTCCCAACTTAAGTTTTCCACTATGTTTTTTTTGTTTTGTTTTTTTGTGTTTTTGGTGTTTCAGATTTTTGGATGTTTGCCTCACTTTTCATTAACCCTACAAGAACTCATCTCTACATTTGGGTCTTCAAGCAACCTCACCCCCTCGTCGACAGCAATGTTCCGAAACCCTATGTGCAAAAATTTGAATTAAAAACCGACAGACACATATGCCACAAACCTTTAAGCTGTTATTGCAGCAACATGTGGTATTGACTCATAATGACTTTTTAATTTGATTAAAAAAATATTTCCTTTTCACCTCTTTAACTTTGATCTTGAAAATACAGCAAAAGTAGTTTGAGGTTTAAATCTCCTGGGTGAGCTCCTTTGCTACAGATCTTATAGGCAATGTAAATATTATTGCATATATTTTATAGCTAGCAGACCACTCAGCCTGCTAGAATAAGTCATATGTTTGCCCATGTGATGA